TGTGATTTTTGGTGGTGGTGGGCTCAAAGAACAATTTACAAAAATCAGTTCTCTAAGGTCTGGAAAGATTGCTCAGAGTATAGGCTGCTTTTTTTCAATAGGAATAGGGTTCAGTTCATAGCACTTAATTACAGTTTATAGCCATCTCTTACTGCAGTTCTAGGGATCCCTAGAACCCTTCTCTAGACATCAAGCATGCACGTGGTGTACATACATATGAGTGCAAGCAAAGCACTCATATACAGAAATAAAAATATATCATAAAAATTTTTTTTTTAGAGACAGGTGGCCTTTAGTCCCAGTACTTGGGAGACAGAAGGAGGCATATCTCTGTGAGTTTGAGGCCAGCCTGGTCCACAGAATGAGTTCTAGGACAGCCAGAGCTACACAGAGAAACCCTGTCTTGAAAAAAACAAATCTTTTAGAGGATAAAATAATTAATAAATCAAATGTACCCTTTAAACTATTAGGGAAAAAGAAAAGTTTATTCTTTCTACCACGTAGCCCCAAGCATCAAATGCAAGTAAAAACAACCCATAGATAGATAGATAGATAGATAGATAGATAGATAGATAGATAGATAGATAACTCTTTAAGAGTGATAAAGCAAAAACAAATATGGTCTCACCTTATTCTAGCACAATGTCAAAGGGGAGTTTAGAAGCTCCTTGACGCAGAGTCCACCTATCTTTCCATGATGGCTTTCCATGTCCTATGGTTATTTGGCTACTGACACTGGAAGATTACTTGAATCTAGGAGCTAAGTGGGCAGAGTGCTTCCCTAGCATGTATCCAGCCTTGGGTTCCATCCCCAGCATTGCAGAAAACTTGTGTAGTGCACACCTGTAATCCCAGCACTCAGGAGGTAGAGAAAAGAGGGTTACAAGTCAAAGTTGTCCTTGGCTACAAAGTGTATTTCAGTTCAGCCTGGCCTGCGTGGTACCCTACCTCAACACAAAACCCAAACCACGTGAATACATGGGTCTGTCTCTTCTGGACTCCCATGAGCTCCTAATAGCAGCTCTGGTAAACTGCCAAGGCTGAGAAGATTGACTGGGAATCAGAAGGAACCAGCGCTAAGTATCTGCTGCCCAGGGATTCCAGATGATTGGCAGAAAAGCATTCTAACATACTGAGACTCATTGCACCTTGGGAGGAACATGCTTAGAGTGTTCCAGGGCCCATGTTGCAGGGAAGGAACCTTCAGCTCCAAAGATGGATAATGGATAAGAAATGTTTTTTCTTGGGAGCCAGTAAGGGGTCTGTGTCCTGCTTTCCTCCAAAGGGTATAGTTGACATAGGGTCTGCTCCATGCTTAATATTGGCAGCTTAATGTTGGCACTGGTCTCAGTGAGCTGTATAGGGGCTTCCCCCCAACCCACGGTACCAGGGATTGGACCCGGGTCTTTATCTCTACCTTTAAAGCCATGTCCTCAAACAAGCACTCTACCCACTGAGCTGCATCCTCAGGTGCTTCATTCTTCCTTTCTTTACCCGAATTCCCTCGCAGAATCCCAGGTTCCCGGGCAACCTTCAGATGAGTGACAGGCAGCTGGATGAGGCTGGCGAAAGTGACGTTAACAACTTGTAAGTGGCCATCCTTTTACTGGAGACCCAGTAGGGAAGTTTTTGCGATTTGGATTTTGCTCTTGGTGATGGCGAGAGGGCCTGGTGGGAGTGACAGACTGAGGTGAGGAAAGAGAAGAACCCTGAGTAACTTAGCCTCAGGGCCACTCGCCACTAGTGCTTTATCCATCTGGAATCCTGCCCAGACGTATTTTCACCATGGCTTCCTTGTTGTAGCCTCCACTTCCAACCCAAAACCAAGCCCTGTCATCTCTCTTGTCCCCTGTGTATTCTTGAGGGCTTAGTTGTTAAATAGTTTTCATAATATATGCTAAGGGGGAAGCTGGGGTGTGTGCTCGAGGGGAACTCTGAGACTGGGGAAGCAGGACAGAGTGTGGGGGTGCTGTGAAAATCTGGCTTTGTTGGCTGGGAGTATGGCTCAGCAGTTGAGCACTTGCCTAGAATCTCCTAGTGAGGGGCAAGGATGTGGCCCAGTGGTAGAGCACCGGCCTAAAGTGCCCTAGGGAGGTGCTGGGGGTGTGGTTCCGTGATGGTAGAACTAATGCATAGAATTCCCCAGGGAGGTGCTGGGGGTATGACTTAGCTGTATCACACTTGCCTAGCAAGTGCAGGGTCATGGATTTCAGTCCCAGTGTTGGGTTGGGGCTTGAAGGAGAGTTAGGCCTATAGACTTTAGTTTCTGTTTCTTCTTGTGTCAGTTTTCAGCTCACCGTGGAGATGTTTGATTATCTGGAGTGTGAACTGAACCTCTTCCAAACTGGTAAGTCTCTTCCCTCTTAGCTGAGACAGGCTGTCGTGAGAATCAGTCTCCTGATTCCCAGCCTGATTCTGTGTTGTCCAGCTGGTCCAGACCCTTTGTTGGTCTTGTGATAAAAGTCTCTGTAGCACAGGTCAGCCTCACACTCAAGCAGTCCTCCTAACTCAACCATTTGAGTGATGGGATTACAGGTTTGCACCACCAGTTCAGCTCTCTGAGCCCTTGTCAGCTGTCTGAGCCCTTGTCTGTCATTGCTGCTTAACAGAGAGCATCAAAGCAGAGCTGTTACACTAGCCTTTGCTCTCTCCTTGCAGGCAGGGCCGGAAACTCCTGCACATTTTTGAAATTAGTTTTTTCATATCAGATAGGGAGACCGGCTACTCTGCCCTTCCCAAGGAACTTCCTTCTAGAAGTCCTGACCTCCAAGTGCCCAGAGGCTGTGTTGCCCTTTCTGATAGTCTTTGGATAGTGGTCACAGTTCCAGCCAGTCCTGTCTGATTAGAGCTGGTAGGCTACCCAGGCATGTTTTCTGCTAAGAAGTGTCTGTCTTGAGCTGGGGATACAGCTCAGCTGGTTGGGTGCTTGCCTAGCATGTACACAGCCCTAGGTTTGTGCGTAGAACTGGGTATGGTGTTACATACTTGTAATTTCAACACTTGAGATTAGAAGATCAGAGACATTCTAAACTGCTAGCAAAATTGAGGCCATGTCAAATACTATCTCAAAACAAGAGGATCAAAACAACAAGAACAATAACAAAAAACCAACAAAAGAAAAAAAAAAACAAAACAACAGGAAAGGAGGTACATGCCTGTAATCCCAGCACTAAAGGAGGCAGAGGCAGTTGAATGTCTATGAGTTTGAGGCCAGCCTGGTCTACAAAGCAAGTCCAGGACAGCCAAGGCTACACAGAGAAACCCTGTCTCAAAAAAAAAAAAAAAAAAAAGCAGGATTTACAACCCCTACCCAAGAACTACAAGTCAGAAGGCGGAGACTGGTGGGGCAGATAGGGCTTCCTGGCTAGCCAGCCTAGTGAGCTCCAGGCCAGTGAGAGACACCAACAGCCGACCCTACCCTGACACCCTTACTTAGATTTGTTTTGTTTTGTTTTTTGAGACAGGGTCTCACTGTTTCTCTGACTGTCCTGAGCCTCACCCTGTAGATCAAAGCTGGCCTTGAGCTCAGAGAGATCCACCTGCCTCTGCCTCTGCCTCCTGAGTGCTGGGATTAAAAGCGTGTGCCACCACCACCTTGCTAGCTTTTTATAATTATGTATGCGTGTGTGTCTCTGTGGGGGTATGTACACATGAGTGCTGTTGCTCAAAGAGGCCTCAGATCTCCCAGAACTAAAGTTTCACATTGTTGTAAGTCACTCTGTCCCATGTGTATGCTGGGAACTGAACTTGGGTCCTGTGAAAGAGCAGTGTGCACTCTTACCTACTGAGCCATCTCTCCAGCCCTGTCTTTAAAAACAACAAAACAGAGTGGAAGCAACTGTCTTTCAATGACAGCTGCTTTTAATTTGTGTCAAGAAAAGCTGCCTTTTAATTAGGGTGGTTCAGTTTGGTGGTGTTCTTTCCGTCTCTCCATCTCTCTCTCTTCCACCAGAATAACCCACTCACAGGGTCGGTGCAGACCAGGTAAGGGCTCTGTGCTTATCCGCAGGAAGGTCCACACATGTGGGGACATCAGGGAAGTCAGGGACCGTGGGCAGCCAGTGCAAGAAAGACAGTCAGCCCTGACAGGGGCTGGGTGAGGACCTGGAGCCCTGCAGGGTGGGGGGGGGACCTGGAGCCCTGCAGGGTGTGGGGGGGGACCTGGAGCCCTGACAGGTGGGGGAGGACCTGGAGCCAGGCATCCAGTAGCTGGGTTTAGAATGATGTAATGTGGTGTCTGGAATGCTTCACAGAAGAGCATCTGGAGGCCCTGCCAGGCTGAGGAACTTGTGTACAGTCACACTGCTGTAGCTAGTGATGTTCGCCTAGCATAGGAGAACCCCCGTGCTGTAAACCATGCATGGTGATACACACTTCCCCCAGATCCGAGGAGGTGGAGGCATTAAAAAAAAAAAAAAGAAAGAAAATATGTTGGTTGTTTCTGATCAGTTTGTGGCAGGTCTTTTTTGGTTTGGTGTCTCTCCCTACAGCTCTGGTTAACCTAGTACTTCTGTGTAGACCAGGCTGACCTCAAACTCACAGAGATCCATCTTCCTCTGCCTCTCGGGTGCTGGGATTAAAGGCGTGTGCCTTCGCTGCAGGTCATATGTTACTAAATCTTCTTCCTTGCGCTTTTCATGAGTTCTATACAACATAGAGCCTCTCTCTCTCTCTCTCTCTCTCTCTCTCTCTCTCTCTCTCACCTGGTAATGACACACCAAGGCTCTGGCCATCAGGAGCAAAGATGTCTGGTCTGCCCATTGATGACCACATGGCCTTAGCACAACTGCTTCTTGGCCATGTGACCACCTTCGAATGACTTAGGATGTATTTCCTTATCTCTCTGGAGGGGATGGATGCCCTTTCTCAGGATTATCATGAGTGTTAAATGAATCACAGCCACACCATCGCCACACACTTGTCCTCCAGCACTTGGGGGGTTGAGATGAAAGAATAGAGATGCAAAGTCTTGGCTAGGCCTATACAAAATGAAATTACAGAAATTACTAGGACTGTAGCATTTGCCTAGAAATTAGAGTATGGCTCAGTGGTAATGGCTTGCCTAAAATCCCACAGAGGAATTACAGGCATGGCTCAAGAGTGGAGCTCTGGCCTAAAATCTTCCAGGGACTGGGGATATGTCTCAACAGTAGAGCTCCTGTCTAAAATCCCCAGTAGACTGCCTGCCTAGAACCCCCCAGTAAGGGGATGGGGATGTGACTCAGTTGTAGAGGTGCTGCCTAGTATCCCCCAGTGAGGACTAGGGTGTGGCTCAATGGTAGATCACCCAACTTTCATATACAAAGTCCTGGGTTCCATTCTTAGTACCACAAAAACATAGAATACACAGAGAGAATAAGTCTTGGTTGTATATCATGCCCCTGTTCTCCAGAGATTCCTGCCTCACTGTGGTCTTTCTCCCCATCGCCCTCCACAGTGTTCAACTCCTTGGACATGTCCCGCTCTGTGTCTGTGACCACAGCTGGGCAGTGTCGCCTCGCACCACTTATCCAGGTCATCTTGGACTGCAGTCACCTCTATGACTACACTGTCAAGTTGCTCTTCAAGCTCCACTCCTGTGAGTACTATAGCCTCAACCATTTCATGTGAGCTTTAGGCTGGGAGGAGAGTCACAGCCTCATCAGGTTCCCAGAAGCACGTAGGCAGCTCACTCAGAACCTTTAGCCTTTTGCTCTGCTCCAAAGGGCCTGGGGGTCCCTGTTATCTGAGAATGAAGGGGAGTAACCCAAGCTTTAGATTGCCCATTTCAGCTCCTGACCTTTCAGTCCTATGTCTTAGAGTTAGGATGGTTGTCTCTGTGCATCTCCAGCTCTACCATGTCTCCATTCACCAAAGATACCGTGTTCTTAGACCCACATGAAGGACAACAGACCTACCTGACCCACACCTACATGAGCTCATAGAGTGACCTCCAAAGCATCTAGCAACCCAATCCCTTATAACAGACAGAATTTTATGGAGAAATGAAAAACAGAAAACAGCTGCAGGGCAAGTATAGCTCAGCAGTAGAACACTTACTGAGAATTCCGTAGGGGAGGTTTATGGTACAGCCTTTGGCTAGAATCCCCCAGTGAGGGGGTGGGGTGTGGCTCAGTGATAGAGCTCCTGCCTAGAATCCCTTAGTGAGGGGCTAGGGTGTGACTAGCTGTTGAGATCTTAACTAGTATGCATAATGCCCTGAGTTCCATCCCTGCAGTGCAGAATAGTGAAATATAGCTGGGCCTGATGGCACATGCCTGTAGTCCCAGCAGTTTGGAGGCAAAAGTATGAGGATCTCTGCCACTTCCAGGCCAGCCCTGAGGTATATACTAAGTTCTAGACAAGCCTTGTTTACATAGTGAGATACTTTCTTTAAAATAAATTCATAAATAATTTACAGCTGATTCCAAACAAGAGCGGGCTATGTTTTGCCCAGGTGGAGATCCCTGCTGTACCCTAAATAAAGCATGCTTTGAGAGCTGCTGGTTTGCAGAAGTTCTTACCGTTCTTGCCCTGGTTCAAAATGTGGGCACTGTGGTGGACTGGCAGCGGGTTGGGGATAGGCTAGTATGTCAGGGGACACACTGGCCACCAAACCTGATGACCCACATGATGGAAGGAGAGGACCTATTGCACAAGTCAGCCTTTGACCTTCACCATGCACAGGGGTGCAACTGCATGGGCATGCACACACACACAATCAGTCATTCAAGTTTTTTAAGTGTGGAAGAGCAGGTTACTGCTGTGCTTGGATAGGTCTTTGGTACAGTTCAGAATCTCCATTTATAAGTACAGATTCCCAAGATGAAACTGTTGGAAATCCTCCCACAGGGGTTTTAGGCAAGCGTGCCGTCACTGTCAGCCCTTCATTTTTGTGGGCGGTGATGGCCACCCAAAAAATGCCCACAGCATGATAGGAAACCTAAGAACTTGTAGGTTTCTGGGATACTGTCAGAATGGACACTGTTCTATGGATATGGATTTGGGTATGGATCTGTATGTTCTATGGATACTGGGTTTGATAGTTCAGACAGGACAAGGAGTGTTTTAGATATATAGAACAGAGGCTGAGTGGGGGGGGGGGTCATGCCTAGAACCCCACAACTTTAGAAGTTGAAAAAGAGGACTGAAAATTTCTTGTCAGGTAGGGCCACATGAATCCAAGGCCCGCTCAGTTGACATAGTAAACCCTTGTCTCGAGGAGAAAAGATAAAATTAAACTTGAAAGAGTGTATGTGCACACCCATATACAAAACAAGTGGCATCAAAACTGTTGACTTACAAGTAACTTCCTGGTTGTAGTTTTTGTTTTTACAGTTTTTTATTTCATTTATCTGTGTGTTTGTTCCCTGTGTGTGTGCTCACACACACATGTAGAGGTCAGAGGACATGTTCAGAAGTCAATTCTCTCGTTGTGTGAGTCCCAGGGACAAAACTCAGGTCACCAGGCCTGGCAGCAAGTGCCTGTACCTGGAACCGTCTCCCCAGCCAAATGTGGTTGTTTGAGATTAGACAGAAGAAGCAGTCACTGATTAAGCTGAGGTCATTTCCATAGGGTGACTGCAGTTTGCTGTTCCAGGATCAGAAAGGTTTGGTGCCATAGGGTGTGGCTACAGGAAGCAGAGAGGGTGGACCAAATCCCAAGGGGAAAAGAGCCTGTTGCTTAGAAACATCATCTACGGGCAGAGAACGTAGCTCTGTTGGCTGAGGGCTGGCCCAGTGTGTGTGAAAACCCGTGTTCCCTCCTTAGCACCACATGAGCACGGCACGTGGCGCACACCTGTGACCTCAGCCCTTGGGAGGAGGAGGGAGGAGGAGGCAGGAGAATCGGGTCAGCTTGGATTACATGGAGAGACGGGCAGCAGTTAAGAGCATGGGCTACTTTTCCTGGCGGCCTGGGTTTCATCCTCAGCACCCACGTGGTGGCTCACAACCATTGATGACTCTAGTACCAGTAGATCCAGCACCTCTTTGGCCTCCTGAGGACATTTTATTCACATGGTTCACAGACACACATGCAGGCCAAGCATTCACGTCCACAAAAATAGTTTTTTAAATAGTTAAATAAAAATAAACACCAACTACAGGTGAACTTATTTTTATTCACTTTGTATTTTGTTTTGTTTTGTTGGTTTATTTGAAAAAAATTTATATATACTACCTTGTCCTTAAACTTAGAATGTAGCCTAGGTTAGCCTTGAGTTCCTAACCCTGTCTTAGCCAGTAGGATTACAGGCATAAGCCACCAAGCCCAACCCTCTCTTGGTAATGTATTAGCATGAAGTTTGTCAATAATGAGTTTGTATTGATACTTTTTTGTGTGCTGTAAAGGAGTATAGAGCCTTGTGTGTACCAGGCAAACACTTTACTGCTGAGCCGCACCCCAGCACCTCACTGGGGGATTCTAGGCAGGTGCTCTACCACTGAGCCACACTCCAGCCCCTCACTGGGGGATTCTAGGCAGGTGCTCTACCACTGAGCCACAACCCCAGTATTTTATTACATACTTTCAGCTAAAGTCAGTACTTTACTTGGTTTTCCACCATTCTTACCCAGTTTTCTTTTTCTAAGATGGGATCCTGTAACACTTAGGTCATTGTTTCTTCAGAGGCTCCCAGTAGCTGTGACAGCTTGTCAGACTTTGTTTAAGATCTCAATAGGTTTGAGTTTGGATTTGTTTGTTTGTGTTTTTGTTTTGTTTTTTTAATGAAATCTTTCTCAATTAAGCTTTTCTGGTATTAGTCGCATAGTGTAACTGAGATGAAGGGTTTTGGAATAGAAATTAAGTGCTATTTCTATCTTCTGTTTAGTTTTATCTTTTTTGGTTTGTTTTTGAAACAAGGTCTCTGTATGTAGTCCTGGCTGGCCTTCAGCTCTCTGCCTGTCTCACATTCATCACTTTCAGTAATAATCATTTAGACATAAACCATGTGATTGTATCACTCACTCAAAAACAGTTAAAAACAAAGCTTGTCATCACAAGTTCAAGGTCAGCCTAAGCTACACAGGAGGTTCCAGGACAGTCAGGGCTGTAGTGTGAGACCATGTCTCAAATACAGAAAAAGCACAGCACAGTGGCAGGGTGTGTTGTTCTGGGTACAAGAGATGCTGAGGCTGGAGGCTGGCTTCCATCCAGGAGTTCAAGGCCAGCCTGGGTAACTTACTAAACTCTGTCAGAAAGAGAAAGGGTGGGAGGAGAAAGGGAGGGAAGGAGACTGGGGAAAGTGCATGGGGTCTGAAAGTAAAAGCTGGTGCTGTGGATCGGTCCCTAGCGTTATCTTCTGACCTGCACGCATGCACTGTGGCACATGTGCGCATACATTCTAAAGCAAAATGTAATTTTAAAATTGGTGATAAAAGAAATCAAGCCAGGTGTGTTGGCAGTCGCCGGTGATCCCAACACACATGACGCTGAAGCAGGAGGTTCATGAATTCAAGACTGGGCTGTAGAACAAGACCTTTTCTCAAAATACAATAAAATGAAAACTGAGTTTTGATTCATAGTTAAAATGTGTAGCCAGAATCCCATGGTCTGGGATGTGAAGGAACCTCAGAAAAGCACCTCTGAAGTTAGGGGATTGGCCCTGAAGGACAGAGCTTGGGCAGTGTCACAAGCCACACCTCAAAGCCTAGGATGAGTCCCACCCCTGTGAGAGAACTGGACTTCAGCTTGCTCTCATTAGTCCTCCAGTTTGGTGAAGCCACGGGCTTCCCCTGGGATACAAGCTCCATCCTTCCAGGCCCAGAGCAGAGAAGTAGAAGAATGCAGAGGCTGAGCACCCCGCTGTTCCTGTGGGGCTCCCTTAGTTACCCAACCTCGGAGCATCTCAGCCAGGAGTACCAGGGGAAAGGCTGGCCCCTCTCTCAGCTCTGGTCTCCACATACTCACGTAATTGCTACCGATTTCCTCCAGGTCTTCCAGCTGACACCCTGCAGGGCCACCGAGACCGTTTCATGGAGCAGTTCACAAAGTAAGTGGCCCTAAGAAAGGGAATGTAATCCAATCAAGTACTATTCGGGGCTAGGGTAGAGTGACTGCTGCACAAGGGTGAGGGCCTGCATTCAGGTTCTCAGCACTCACGTAAGAAGCCAGGCATGTAATGTGGGAGATGGAGCCAGGGTAACCCCTGGGGCTCAGTGGCCAGCTAGACTAGATGAGCATCGAGTTCACCGTGTGGTATTTCTAGTCTTTTTGAGGAACCTTATCCTGGGTTCTGCTAGGTGGTACCACTTTCCCCTCCCACCAACAGTGTATTAGGATTCTTCTTTTCCCATATTCTCACCCTCATGTTTGTTTTCTTGATGACAGCCATTCATACTTCAGAGAGAAAAACTCTCAATGTAGCTTTAATTTGCATTTTCTTTGTAGCTAGAGATAATTGAGCTCTGTGTGTGTGTGTGTGTGTGTGTGTGTGTGTGTACATTGTTTTAGTTTCTGTTGTGATACAATACCCTGACATAAGGCAACTTAAGGGCAAAAGGGTTTATTTGAGGTAGAGTTCCAGGTTACCGTCTGCTTCAGGGAAGTCAAGACAGGAACTTGAGGTGTCTAGCCACATCACATCCAAGAACAGAGAGAGAATGAACATGTGCATGCTTGTTGCTCAGCCAGCTTTCCCTACTCCAAGGCGCAAAGCCAGGGGATGGTGCTGCCCACAGTGGGCTAGGCCATTCCACAGCAATTAAGGCAATCAAGACCATCCCCACAGGCCAACTTCATATAGATAGTAGTACCATGATGAAACTTTTTCCAGATGATTCTAGATTGTGTCGTTGACGATTCAAACTAACCTTCGTGGTTGACTTGGTATTTCTGGGGAATTGTTCATCCTGACCTTGTTTGTTCTCCCTGTTAACTTCAAGTTTGACTATGGCTGGTACTTCACTCATCGGTTCCCTCAGGAACATTCAGAGGACAACACAGGGTTGAACTAACTAACCTCCCATCCCCCCAGTTTCCTCATTCCTCTGGGGAAGCCTAGTGTCAGTCCCGTGATGAATGACTTACTAAATCCTAGGAGACAGGCCCTGGGGCTGGCTTCCTAGAATGTGAACTTCCAGTAGCTTGCAAAAGCACTAACATCTATTACTGTTGGCACCAACCCAGAGAGACAGGACGTGTGGCCAGCTCATTTTATTTCCTTCCATTTTTTCCCCAGCTTATGAAAACATCTCCTGTTAGTAGCTGCTTCATTTTTTTCTTCTACACAGAGGTGAATATTGTCAAGGTCTCGCTGTCCTGGAGTTCAAGGACAGCTGCAGCAGTGCCACAGGGACACTTAGATCTTGGGGTCTGATCGAGGCTGCGATGAGCCTGGGCAGGGGCTGGTTGATGGGTGAGTGAGCAGAAGTTCCATGACGCAACTAAAGACTGCTGGAACCTTGGCTCCTCCTTAGCTTTCTTGCTTTTTGCTGTTTTTCACTCAGACTAGAGGCGTGGCGAGAAAGGAAGTGCTTTCTGGGGCTGGGCTTCTGGCTCAGTTGCACAGTGCTACCTAACGTGCGTGCGTGAAGCCCTGGGTTCTAACCCGAGGCAGTGTGGATTAAATAGTCTGGGTGAATGGAGGTGAACGGGATGGGGTGGAGTAGAGGGAAAATAATAGAACTGAGAAGATTGGAAGGTAAAGCAGAATAGAGAAGTATGGAATGGAAGGGAACGGAATAGAATAGAATAAGAATAGAATGTTAGTGCTCCAGTGACCGTAACAAAATACATGACAGCTGATTAAGGGAATTTGAGGGTGTAGTCTCTCATAGTATAGAAATGATGGTTTGTCGTAGGTAGGGAGTCCATGACTGTGAAGAGACACCATGGCGACTCTTATAAAGGAAAACATTTCACTGGGGCTGGCTTACTGTTTCGGGGCTTTAGTCCGTTATCATCATGGTGAGATGCATGGCGGCACGCAGGCAGGCATGGCGCTGGGGGAGCCTGGAGTTGTGTCTGTGAATCCGCAGGCAGCAGGAAGAGAGTGTGAGCCACTAGACCGCCTTTGAGCTTCTGAGACCTCAGAGCCCATCCCTTAGGGATGCACTTCCTCCAAGGCCACATCACCCAACAGTGCCACTCCTTACTGCGTGCCACGAGGTGGCAGGAGCTGGAGGTAATGCCTGCAGTTGGGAAGCTGGCGCTCAGCTCACTTTCTTTGTAATTATTTTTATTTGATTTTATTTTTATTTGTTTATTTATGTTTTATTCTTTTGAGACAGGGTTTCTCTGTGTATCCCTGGCTATCCTGAAACTCATGCTGTAGACCAGGCTGGCCTTGAACTCGGATATCTCTGCCTGCCTCTGCCTCCTGAGTGCTGGGACTAAAGGTGTGTGCCACCACAGCCCGGCTTTGCTTTCTTCAGTCCAGGATTCCAGCACATGGCATGGTGCTACCCACATTCAGGGAGGATATTCCCGCCTAAGTTAACCCAGTCCAGAAACTACATCATAGACGTGTCCAGAGTTTGTTTCCATGATAACTCAGTCCCATCAAGTTGACAATCAAGATTACTCATCATGAACTGGAAAGCATAGGACAGGATGGAATATGAGGCTGGAAATATGGCTCAGTAGTTAAGAGCATTTGTTGCTCTTGCAGAGAACCCAACGTTTGGTTCCCAGTTCATATTCCAGGAGGCTCGCAACCTCCTGTGACTCAGCTCCAGGGGACCTGTTGCTCCTGCCCTCACACACACATACCTTCATGCACACACACATACACACTTATATACTTATAATTAAAAAGAAGGCCCGGGTATGGTGGCACACACATTGAAATCTGGCAGAGGAAGAAATAGGTTTATCTCTGAGTTTGAAGCCAGTCTGGTCTACATAATGAGTTCCAAACCAGCCAGAGCTACACAGTGAGACCCTGTCTCAAAAACAAAATTAAATTTAACATTTTAAAGAAATCATTTTTGAAAGAAAGAAAAGGAATAGGATAGAACTAAACTGAATTGTTTAGACTAGAGGAGAAGAATATTGGTTTTCTCATGGCTCTTTTCATCCAGGGTTAGGGCATGGTTTAGACAGGCCATGCCTCCATGCAGGGTTAGGGGACCCACCTGGGCCTGGACTTTGCTGACTGTAGGTGCTTGGACCCTGTCTACTTGAAGCTTCTGGTCCAACAGGGTGATCGGTAGTTCTGAAGCCAGAGGGATTCACTGAGAAGGTCCGCATTAATCAGTAAACTTCCTTCCCTGTTTCAGTGGCCAGATGCCTCATAACTTTAGAGAAAATCATTTCCCTTTCATTTTCCTCCAAACTATTCCTAGGAAGAGAAATCTGCCAACAGCCATGGGGAAATGAGTTTGGGGGTTTGGCTTGTTTTCTGCTTTTGTCATTGTGTCAAAATGCCTGACAAAAGCACTTGAGGAAGGAAGTCTTGACTTTCATGGTTTGAGGGTCTAATCTGGCATGGTGGGGATGGCATGGCTGCAGGAGCGCAGGCAGGAAGCTGCTGCTCACCTCAGTTCTCTTCAGAGTAAGCATGTGTAGACCGGAAAACAACTTGAGGGAATCAGTTCTTTCTTTCCACCCGGTGGGACCCAGAGACCCTCTGGTTATCAGGCTTGGCAGCAAATGCCTTTACCTTCTGAGCCTTCTCAAAGGGCCCGTTTTCTCCTTACTCAGCCCAGAGGGATGGTGTTATCCAAGTTCATGGGGAAGGAGGGTCTTCCCACCTCAGTTCAGCCTCTCTGGAGACACCAGGAGTGTGTCCCCAGGGTGATTCTAAATTCCATCAAGTTTTCATCAAGATTGTCATCTCTAAGATTGTCCAGCCATCAACAGGATTTGTAGAATTAATTACTCTTTTCTCAACACTGGTGACTGAGAACCCACTGGGAAAGACCTCAATCTTTGTTGGGCATGCTGGCACATGTCTTTAGAAGTGGGTGGATCTCTTGAGTTTGAGGCCAGCCTGGTGGACACAGTGAGTCCTGGGACAGGCAGGTCTAGCTACACAGAGAAACCCTGTCTTTATTATTATTATTTGTTATAATTTATTTACTTTGTATCCTGGCTGGGCCGCCCCTCTCTCGTCTTCTCCTAATTCCACCAAGAAACCCTGTCTTGAAAAACAAAACAAAAATACCTCAATCTGTAACATCATTTTTGAAACTTTATTTGTTCGTGTGTGTGTGTGTGCGTGTGTGTGTGCGCGTGCGTGCACGCACATGAGAGAGAGAGAGAGAGAGAAATAAATAGATCAGTGAGAGAGATGGTGTGTGTATCTGAGAAAAAGAGGGGAGTGGTATTTGTGCCATGGCAGTGTGCATGTGGCAACCAGAGGGCAACTTTATGAAGCCGGTTCTCTTTTCCACCTTTATGTGGGTTCCAGAATCAAACTCGATACACCAGGCTTGCTTCTTTCGGTGGCATGGTGCCTTTACCCACTGGGCCATCTCCCTGGCCTGATGGTATCATAATTGAATCCTGGCATCTGGAGGACAAACCACCCACAGCTTTTGCCTTTGAGGTGGATAGAGGGTGGGAATGCTGGGGAGGTCCTCCCGGGACTGGGACCAGCCACGCCCAGCACCCCTGAAATCATCCTTCACTCCCAGGTTGAAAGATCTCTTCCAGCGCTCCAGCAACCTCCAGTACTTCAAGCGGCTCATTCAGATCCCCCAGTTGCCTGAGGTGAGTGTGCCTGTTGGGCTGTACTTGTTGGGCTGTGCCCAGTGGTTGAGCATCCTTTAAAGCTATGTTCTGCTTCTCCAGAATCCACCCAACTTCCTTCGCGCCTCAGCGCTGTCAGAGCACATCAGTCCTGTGGTAGTGATCCCAGCCGAGGTGTCGTCTCCAGACAGTGAGCCTGTCCTAGAGAAAGATGACCTCATGGACATGGATGCCTCCCAGCAGGTACAGATTCCTCGAGAGAGGAACTTGGCCTGTTCAGTTGCCCCCAGCATAGACAAAAGGAGAGGAGAGGCTCCTAGCTTGGGGGTGTCTGCTCTGCATAGGTCTGCTTGATTTTAATATTTGGATGTGGCATCTCCCTGTGTTCTCTATGCTAATCTTAAACTCCTGGGCTCTCGAAATCCTCCTGCCTCTGCCTCTAAGATGTGCAACTACGAGTGGATGCCACAGTGCCTAGCCACGCTCCTCTTTCTCATAACCAAGTAGGAGTGAATGCTGAGCACCCTGCACTCGGCCTCCTGGAGGGCTCATAGCTAGGTCTTGGCCAAATCAAGAACACAGATTCTTGGTGCCAAGCATGGTAGTGGCTCATGCCTCTAACCACAATAGTTGGAAGGTGAGAGCAGGCGAGGAGGAGTCCAAGGTCAGCTTTCAGCCACTCAGCACATGGTGAGGCCCTGTCTCGGAAACACTAAGGGCTGGAGAGTAGGCTCAGCCGCTCAGAGCACTTGTTGCTCTTGCAGAGGACCTGCGTTTGATTCCCAGCCACAAGGTGGCTCACAACCATCATTTTGTTTTTTGGAGACAGGGTTTCCTTGTGTAGCCCTGGCTGCGCTGCACTCACTCTTTAGACCAGGCTGACCCCAACCTCACCAAGGTCCGATGCCTCTGCTAGGATCAAAGTGCACCATCATGGCCTGTCTTCACAACCATCTTTAACTGCCCCCCTCCTTCTGACCTCTTTGAGCACCAGGCACACACATAGTACACAGACATGCATGCAGACGAAACACTCATACATATAAAAATAAATAAATCTTCTGAAAAGTTTTATTTAAGTACAAAGGAAAAAAGACAGACAGGAAGAAAAGGAGTCAGGCATGGCAGCACACACTTGAATTCTAGTACTCAGGAGACAGAAGCAGGCAGATATTTCTGAGTTGTGGGCCAGCCTGGTCTTTATAGTGAGTTCGAGGCCAGCCAGAGCTACCTAGTGCGCCCCTGCCTAAAACTACAATAGTAAATTGCATGACAACCTCCCCCTGCGCCTCTCCGCCGCCCAAAGAGTTTTCTAGGTCTCTGACCTGTCCGTCACCCTTCCCCGACCCTGCCAATCACTGCAGAATTTGTTTGACAACAAGTTTGACGACATCTTCGGCAGCTCATCGAGCAGCGACCCCTTCAATTTCAACAATCAAAATGGTGTGAACAAGGACGAGAAGTAAGTCCACACTGGGTGGAAGTGCGTGGTGTGAAAATGAGATTAAGCCACGGTCTGTCTTGCAGCAGTTACCCAAGTGGAAGGAATTCTGTGTGTGTGTGTACACGTGTGTGTGTGTGTGTGTGTCTACGTATGTGTGTTTATGCCAGCGGTCATCCTCAGGTGTCTTCCACAGATGCCCTCTACCTCTTTTGTTTGTCTGGTGTCTGATTCTGTGTGTATGAATGTATTATGTGTGTGTTTGAGTGTATATATGTGTATACATGTGTGTATTTACATGTGTGTATATGTCTGTGATTGTGTGTGAGTGTGTATGTGTTTGTATATGCGTGGGGGCATTTTATATATATAATTATATACATAATCATATAATTATAGAATTATAATATATTTATATATTATTAATTGTATTATATATACATACATACACACACACGTGTGGGGGAGCTAGTGTACTTGCCTATGCATGTAAGTGTAGAGGCTAGAGGTCAAGGTTGGATGTCTTCCCCTATTGTTCACCACCTTTTTTTCTCGTGTGTGTGTGTGTGTGTGTGTGTGTGTGTGTGTGTGATGTGTGAGTGTGCATGTACACATGCATGCCCACATGCCCATGAAATCCAGAAACAGGTACAGTTCTGAGTCATCCAGCATAGGTGCTGGGAACTGAACCTGGGTCCTCCACAAGAACAACAAGGCGCTCTGAACTGCTGAGCTCTGGTACAGCACTTCTTTTAAAAAAGTTTTGTTACTGTTTGTGTATTTGATTATGTGTTGTGAGTTGGGATGTGCCAAGTGTGCACACATAAGCAGAGGACTTTATGGAGCCATCTTTTCCTTCCACTTGTGTGTGGGCTCCAGGGTCTAACTCAGGTGGTCGGGCTCGGGGCAAGCACTTTCCCTATAGAGCCACCTCACCCACGAAGAATCCTTAATAACCGGGCTTTTTAGAAAGCATTTAAGATGCAGCTCAGTGGGCACTCTGACTGAGGGTGCCCAAGGCCTTAGGTTCAATCTCCCAACTAAGAAAGCGGCCAGGGCTAGAGAAATGGCTCAGTGGCTAAGAGCCCTTGCTACCTAAAGTTCATTTCAGCAGCCACATTGAGTGGCTCAGAACAACCAGTTATAACTCACAGGGTTTCAACACCCTCTTCAGGTCTCCAAGAGTACCTGTACACCTGTGCACATACCAACAGGCAGAGAGACACATACATAGATTTAAAAAGTTCTTTTAGTCTCTCACTTCCTCTCCAGACATGACCGTCTGTATTCCAGATCAGTAACTGTGACCCCGTGGGTTTCAGGGTAAGATGCCGAATGTTTAAGGGGCCATCTCCCTAAGTATCCAAGTGTTGTTGGTTCCAGAATCACTCCCACAGACAGACACGGATACGAAATCAGCCACTGTTTGAGACTCCTTCATAAATTTTGTTCTGGAAGGGAGTTGCTGCGTGCATGCTGTGACGTTAGTGTATAAGTAAGAGGACAACTTAGAGGAATCAGTGTTCTCCTACCGTATGGTCCCAGAGATCTAACAAGGACTGTCAGGTTTGATAAAAGCATCTTTATCCTCTGAGCCATCTTACCATCCCCCGTTTTTCTGTTGTTTAGGGAATAACGAGAAGAACAAAAGTGGTCAGTATAGATGCAATTTTTTTCTCTCAAAATATTGTATATCCCCAGTCTGCTGAATGCACAGATATAGAACCCACAGATGAGAAAAATTGACTGTAAGATTTATATTGCAAAGAATTATTACTATCCATGGGCCAGAGATGTGGATCGTTTGTAGCACTCAGGGACACCCCAGGACCACATAAACCAGGAACACTAGCCTATGTCCGTAATTCTAGCTTGCCAGAGGAAGGAAGGGAAGGAGGAGGGGAGGGAGGAAGAAAGGGAAAGTGTCATTTTCTCATGGCTATTTGGTAACAAAAGATTTATTTTGTTTTTGGTTTTGTTTTCTTTTAAGAGAATGGCCCCAAATTAACATAGACTTTTACCTCCTTTTCCAGTCTCTCAGCTTACATGGAAAAGAGGGGTGGGGCGTAGTTACACCAAGCCTGTTCTTCTCTTCTCAGGGACCACTTGATTGAACGCCTGTACAGAGAGATCAGTGGACTGACAGGACAGCTAGACAGCGTGAAGACTGAGGTGCATGCTAAGATCCACCTGCGCTTGGATTTCAGCAGCATGTGGCACATGTCTCATGATCCTGGCTGGACTCTACCCAAAGTTAACCAACAGATATGCCAGAGTCGATGAATCTGGTCATCTCAGGATCTCACTTAGGAGTTGTTGTCATAACATGTGGCTGTAGGGTCCAGTTAAGCTGGCCACCAGTGTCCCTATGAGCTGTGGTTATGGCTTGGCCATCAGACGGAGATGAGAAAGACCAATTCTTCTCATAAGAGTTCTCCTTCAAAAAGCTTGATGCTGGAGCTCAATGATATATCACTGGCTGAATCCATCAGAAGGGCCACAAGTGTGATAGAGTGCTTACCTAAAATCCTTCAGTAAGGGCTAGAGGCTGTGCCCCAGCACTAGAGTACCTGCCTAGAGAAAGCCAATGATGGGCTAGAAATATGGCTCAGTTGTAGAGAGCTGAGCTAAAATCCCCTAGGAGGTATGGCTCATGGGTGGAAGGCTTGCCTAGAATCTCCCAGAAAAGTACTGGGAATGGGGGTGCTGAGAATCTCCCAGTAAGGGGACAGGGAGTACAGCCACTGGCCTAACAGGCTTCCTACCCAGAGCACAAAAACAAGAACAAAAACAATTTTTATTTTATTTATTTTTTTGTCTATGGTTGGTTGGATCTGTGGGTCAGAATATGATGGTAAAGATCAACCATAATAGGTCAGTGCCAGCAATGAGATAAATAGTTCCTGCCCTGCCTGGCACCCCCATGGGGTAGTTTCACGGTAGCGGGATCATCACCCTGGGTCCCTCCGACAGAGCCAGCGGGCCATGCTACAGCTGAAGGGCCGAGTGAGTGAGCTGGAGGCAGAGCTGGCGGAGCAGCGGCACTTGGGGCGGCAAGCTACAGATGACTGTGAGTTCCTGCGCACGGAGCTGGAGGAGCTGAAGAGGCAGCGAGAGGACACGGAGAAGGCGCAGCGCAGCCTGACGGAGATAGAAAGTGAGGGGCGGCGCTGGGACTGAGGTGTGGGGACCCCAGCCAGGCCACAGGCCTCACCTTGGCCTTTCCCAATATAGGAAAGGCCCAGGCCAATGAACAGCGGTATAGCAAGCTAAAAGAGAAGTACAGTGAACTGGTTCAGAACCATGCTGACCTGCTTCGGAAGGTAGGAGCTTTGACCCCTCTCTAATCCTTCCATATACCCCAGGAGATACAGTGCAAACCTCAGGAGTTTCTCCAAGCTGCACTTCTATTTATTCTTCCTCTGTGTGTGCAGTTGCTTGGGGATGCCAGAAGAGGGCGTCAGATCCTCTGAAGCTGAGGTTACAGGCAATTGTGAACCACCCATCGTGGGTGCTGGGAACCAAAATTGGGTCCTTTGAAAGATCAGTACATGCTCTTAACCACTGAGCCATCTCTCCAGCTCTTAGACTCCCATTTCTTAGACCCAGCTTTTTAAGTCTTCTTCAGTTCTGTCTTATGGGCCAGCCATGCTTAGAATTACCCCACATTTGAGTTAGGCATAGTGAGTCATGCCTATAATCCTGTCAGAGTGGTGAGAGGCAAAATTCTGCCTCTAAAAGAAGCCAGCTGTGGAGCCTCATGACTTTAAACCCAGCCCTTCAGACCAGCTAGGACTAAATAGTAAGGTCCTGTCTCAAAAAATAAATAAGTAGGCGTACTGTCTTACATTTGCAATCCCCAAACTTAGGAAGCAGAGGCAGGAGGATTGCTGGCAGTCTGAGGCTAGCCTGGGCTACTTAGTGAAAACCACTCCCACCCCTACCCATCTGTGTTTTTGTAAATACCTAACAGTCTATGATCTAAAGGTCATGGCTTGATTCTGGCTCCCTCTGAGTAGGAAAAACCTTCTCCTGTGTCTGCCTCCTTGTTACTCACAGTCTGGTAGAAGTCACTGGTGCTAGAAGGAAGGTGTGATTTGAGCCTGAGGGATGTCAGCTCAAAACAGTCTCCCCTTTCAGAATGCAGAGGTGACCAAGCAGGTGTCCTTGGCCAGGCAAGCCCAGGCGGATTTGGAAAGGGAGAAGAAAGAACTAGCGGATTCCTTTGCACATGTAAATGACCAGGCCCAGCGGAAGGTGAGCAGAAGAGGCACTTGGGTGAGAAGGGAGGTGACTCCTGGAAGGGGCTTTCATCCGGGCTATTGTTGCATGTGTATATTGTGTGTGCAAGCATGCACATAACCACGTGCATGCTGGAGTCAGGGGACAACCTGTGGGTTTGGGTTCTCTTGTCGCACCATGTGGATCCTAGGGATGGAACTCAGATCATAACCAAGCAGCAAGCACTTTGAGCCCCTCTGTCCTCCTCTGAACCCCATAAACAGGCTTTGAGGCAGGCTGGATCAGGTCTTCAGCATATGTTCCATGGGTGGTTTCCAGGAGGCCTTTGGGGGCTACCCAGAAGAGCAGGCGCTGGGGACTGGCCCTGTCACCCAGTTGGTGGAATGCTCACCTAGCATGCTCATCTAGGAGGCCGGGTTCCAGCTCTAGCACCACATTAGCCGGGCATGGGGGTGCATGCCTGTAACTCCTCTTGGGAGGCGAGGGCAATTGGAACAGACATTCAGGGTATCCTTGGCTATGCAGCAAACTGAACGCCAGCCTGGGCTACTTCAAACCCTGTCTCAAGAAAGGAAAGGGGAAAATAAATAAATAAATAAATAAATAAATAAATAAATAAATAAGTAAATCTATTATTTGTTATTATATTGTTATAAATGGTGTTATTATTAATGACATTAATTATAATTAATATTGATGTTATTATTAGTTAATAATATATGATATGTATAGCACATTAGATATATAACAATTATATATTAATATTGCTGTTATTAGTTAATAATATATGATATGATATATGTGTAACACATTATACATATATAACATACAACTATAACATAATTATATTATATATCAATGTTGGTGTTATTATTAGTTAATAATATATGATCATATAATAAGTATATCACTATAACATGGTATCATAATATAACGTGTATATGTTATACATACATAACATATACATATATAACATAATTATATATATAATCACTAATATGATTGCCATAGTATTCGTTAATACCATATTAATTGTATTAATTATCACTAATATTAGTGTTATTAATGTGTTGTAGATAATTATTAACGTTGACAAGCACATATATGATATTTTTTTATGAATTCCTACTAATGGCTAGTAAACTAACCTTCGAAGAGGAAAGGTCTGGGTATCTCCTGTAGCCTACCTGTTCCGTGCACACTTGTAACTGAGAACCAGTGGCTTCACAGTCTCAGTCAATAGCGCAGGAAATGGATACACGTGTATTCCGTCTCGTGATTCCCCAGCTCACAGAGCTCTTGTTCTGCTTCTGTTTCAGACTCAAGAGCAGCAGGATGTACTCGAGAACCTGAAGCAGGAGCTAGCCACCAGCAGACAAGAGCTGCAGGCCCTGCACAGCAGTCTGGAAAGCTCTGCCCGGGTGAGTGCCCCTGCCCCTGCCCTCTGCACCAGCCCTTCCCCAGCTTGCTGGCTGCAGTTGTCATCCACACATGTTCTTTGAGGGCAGTGTTAGGTATGTGGAGGAGATGTGACCTTCTGCGCCTTGGAGCCAGGAGGTAGGTCTGGAGTCCCAGCGAGGAGACTCTTTAATTTCCTCAGTTTCTCCCTGTTTCCATATGGTGACCTCTGCAGTCAGAAGCCAAGTGGCTGGCCCAGATCTCCGAACTGGAGAAGGACCAGGGTGGCCTGCTGACTGCCGCAGCTCAGAGAGAGGAAGAGTTATCAGCCCTCCGAGACCAGCTGGACAGCACCCAGCTCAAGCTGGCCAGTGCCCAGGCAAGTGACAGACATCCACTGGGACACTGTGGAAGCCAGAGATCTGCTGTGAAGGGTTTGAGGCCACTTGGCCTAATGGCTAAGGACACATTTCCTAAATCCATTTGTCTCTTTTTGTATAAGAGGAAAATCATGTGAGCTGGGGGCATACCTCAGTAGGCTTATCCAGTTTATATGAGCATGAGGCTCTGAGTTCAGCGTAAACTGTGTCCGCCAGCACACACCTGTAATCCCAGCCCACACCCAGGAAGTGGAGACAGGAGGAGCAGGAGTTCAAGTTATGCTCAGCTCTCTTAATACTGAGTTCGAGGCCAGCCTAGAACACATAGGTCCCTGCCTAATAAAATGAAATAAAATAGGGGCTGGAGAGATGGCTTAGAGGCTCAGTGGTGGCAGTTCTTCCAGAGGACACATGTCGGGTTCTAATTATCTCCAGAAACACTTTCCCAGACACAGCCCGAGGTGTGCTTTATTAATCCAGGGTTCTCTTAACCAAGGCCACAGAGTTAGCAGTCCTCAGGAAGTAATTTGATTTCCACCCTAGTAGTGGAGGCAGGCCTCTGGTCCATTGTAGGCGTCTGTGGACCAAGGTCAGGTATTGTTTTCTTTGTGGAACTGACTGACTTGGATCTCATTAGTGCCACAGTGAGAGGCCAGGAATCCCGGTGTGGTCTCAGGTTATATGCTGCTATGGCTCACTGAGGTTTGCCTGGCTGACTCTCACCTTTTGGGCCTTGTTCTAGGAAGCCATGCACCAGCAGGTAAAGGCCCAGAGAGAGACCCTCTTGACAGCGACCAGGAAGGCTGCCGAGCGTGAGATACAGGAGGCGCTGGGCCAGCTGGAAGAGCCTGCCATCATCAGCTGCGCAGGGTCCACAGGTCAGTCTTCAGCTGTCCACCGGCCGGGCCCAGCTGCCTGGCACTTCCTGTCCATGCTGAATCCCACAGGAAATGTAGCTCAGGAGCCCCTGGGGTGTACCTGGTCTCCATCCTAGGTCAGTTAAATCAGAAGTTCTATGGCCTATGCCTGAGTCATTGTGACTTCTCAAGCCAGGACACCCGGTGCCTTCGTGTACCTGTCATTGCTGTGTCACTCTGAGCATAGCACCTGACCGGAACAACTTAAGGGAGGAAAGTTTCATTCAGCTCACAGTTTCAGAAGGTCCTCAGTGAAGAGGAAGGCATGGAAGAGCAGCTCTGTTCATATCTGTGAGAATATATGGTAGAGGCTGCTCCCAGTGTGGGAAGCGGAGAGCAAGACAGGAAATGGACAGGAAGAACAGACCAAGATCTGCCCCTTGTGACCTCCTTCCTCCCATTAGGTTCTGCCCCCAACATTTGCATAGCTTCCCAAAGGAGCACCAAAGCTGGTGAACCAAGCATTGTCATATGAACTTATACTTGGGAGGCAGAGGCAGGGGATCTTTGTAAATTCCAGGATAGACAGCTATATAGTGAGACCCTGTCTCAATAATAATAATAACGATAACAACCATAATGTCATGAGCTTGTAAGAGAGACTTAAGATTCGAACTTTATAGTGTGCCGTGCCCCTATAGTGAGCAGGATCCTGAGGAAATAGTGAAGCGAGACTCTGAGCTGGGGACATGGCTCAGTTGTTAGAGTGCTTGCTTAGCGTGCACAAAGCCCTGGGTTCTAGTCCTAGTACCATGTACACTGGGTATGATGGTAGATGCCTTTATCCCAACACACTGTGGAAGGCAGCAGGAAGATCAGAAGTTCAAGGCTATCCTTGGCCACATAGTGCGTTCAAGGCCAGCCTGGCTTATGTGAAACCCTGTCTCTAAAGAGAGAGACAGACAGACAGAGAGAGATAAATTATGTACATCACATCAGAACCAGCATAGCCAGCAGCCTGCCCTCCCTCCCTCCCTCCCTCCCTCCCTCCCTCCCTCCCTCCCTCCTTCCTATACTTAAGGAAAAGCCTATGGGACAGGAACTCTCGCCCATCAGCCCACCCAACCTAGCTGCTTATGTAGCACAAATTTTAAGAGATCTTGTTCTGTCTTGTTCTTCCCTCAGATCACCTTCTCTCCAAAGTCAAGTCTGTTTTCAGCTGCCTGGAACAACTAGAAAAGAACCGCAGCCGGTACCTGGCATGCCCAGAAGGTAAGAGCACCAGAGGACATGTACTCTATCACCAGAGTAACCAGGCCAGGCTTAGATATGTACACAAGGGAGCTGGAGATATGGCCAAGTGGTTAAGAGCACTCACTTTTGCTGAGGACCTAGTTCGGTTCCCAACACCTACTCACTTCTGACTGCTCACAGCTGCCGGAAACTGCAGTTCCAAGGGATTTGTCACCCCCAGGGCTATCTGCATCCAGGGGCACATATCCCTAAACACTCGCGCACGCGTGTGTGTGTGTGTGTGTGTGTGTGTGTGTTTTAAGTAAAATCAACCTAAACAAAGCAGCACTCACCACTAGGCCTGACCCTGACATTTTATTTCTATTTCCTGTAGATATCGGTGACCTTCTGCACTCAGTAACCCTGCTCGCCCACTTGACCAGTGACACCATCATTCAGGGGAGTACTACCAGCCTCCGGGCCCCACCAGAGCCAGCCGACTGTGAGTACAGAGTAGAGAGCACACCCCTGAGAAGAAGGAAATGGAGGCGCTTAACGTCTGTCTCTCCTGCCTGCAGCTCTGACAGAGGCCTGTAGGCAGTGTGGCAGGGAAGCCCTGGCCTATCTGTCCTCCCTCGAGGAAGGAGCCATGGAGAGAGCTGACGGCACAGGCCTGAGGAACTGCCTGAACAGGATCAAGGCCATTGGCGAGGTATCGTTAGTGATATGGTTTGCTTTTTGTTGTTTGGTTGTCTGAGACCAGGTTCTCGTGTAGCCCAGGCTGGCCTCGAATTCTCTATGTAGCCAAGGATGCCTCGAACTCCTATCTTCTTGTCTCCATCTCCTGGGTGCTGGGATTTCAGTCCTGGACTTGGTTTATGAGGTGCTGGGGACGGAATGCAGAGCTTCACTTGTGCTAGACAAGCACTCTACTAACTGAGCCATGTTCCCAGCACTGTTTGGTCTCTTATAGACCAGGCTAGCCTAGAACTTGCCAAGAATAACAGCTGGCCCTCTTGCATCCACCTCCCGTGTGTCATCACGCCTCCCCAGAAAGTCTTGTGTGTGTGTATGTGTGTCTCTGTGTGTGTGCACGCGCTCTCTCATATATATGCCAGTGTGCGGATACATACCAGAGGAGGATATCAAATGCCCTCGATGGCTCTACCTAGTCTTTTCCTGCTGGGCCTCTCCCAGGACATGAGACTCTTGAATCTTCTCTGCTGAACTGAAAGCCAGCTTCCTCCACAGACCCTCTGTCTCTGTCCCACTCAGGCCTGTGCCAGATGCTTGGCTCTTTATGCCAGTGCTGGGACCCAAACTCCGGAACTCATGATTGTGCAGCGAGCCCTCTTACTCGATGAACCATCTCTCCAGCTCCCAGAAAGTGACTCTCATGCCAAGTATGAATGCCGCTGCATTGTCAGGGAATCAGTTATGCAACCCCTAGTGCTTTCTGCAGATCCAGCTTGATTCTAGAAAGAGTAAGGGCTGAGAACAACACACATTCTTGTTTCATTTTGAAATAGGATCTCACTATTTACACCAGAGCGCCCCTGGACTCTGTAGATCCATATGCATGTATACCTGTGCATATGCATAATCATCTACACACGTGAACATGCACACACAATGAATGTGTATTAGGTATTTATGGAGGCACAAAACTGCATGAGTTCTGTGCAAAAGAAAGTTAAGAGCAGCTGTTTGTGTTCCTTGCACTAGAGCTGAAGCAGAGATGTACTTCAACAGTATGATGACTGGGCATGGTGGTGCCTGCCGGTGTCATGGCACTTGGGAGGCTGAGGCAAGAGGACCAGCAGTTCAAGACCGTTGGGGCTGCATAGGCAGTTTGAACCTGGCTTCGTGAAACCCCATTTACAAAAATAAAAATAAAGCTGGGTGGTGGCGGCGCACACCTATAATCCCAGCCCTCGGGAGGCAGAGGTGGGCAGAGCTCTGAGGCCAGCCTGGTCTTCAGAGTGAGTCTCAGGACAGCCAGGACTACACAGAGAAACCCTGTCTCAGGAAAAAAAAAAGGGGGGGGGCAGGTGTGGTAGCTCACACTCTTAATCCCAACACTCGGCAGCAGAGGCAGGTGAGTTTGAGGCCAGCCTGATCTACATAGTGAGACCCTGTCTCAAAGACAAAAACCCTTCCATTAGTAGATACAGTTGATGCCTGTGACAGCGGAGTTAAGGCAAAAGCAACTAAAGGGAGGGCTTGTTTTGGCTCACCTTTTGAGGCTCCGGTAGAGGCCTGGTGACAGAGCATGAGGCAGCTAGCCACATGGCATCCACCCTCAGGAAGCAGGGAGAGGTGAACGCTAGTGCGCGGCTCACTTCCTCCTTTTCATTCAGTCCAAACCCCAAGCCCATGGGATGGTGCCACTTTCTCTCAAGTGAGTCTTCCCAACTCAACTAACCCAGTCTAGAAACTCCCTCACAGGCATGCCCAGAGGTCTGTTTCCATGGTGATGCTGAATCCTACCAAGTTGACAATCAAGGCTAATCCTCATAGGGCCACCATAACTGTAGCTGAATGACTCTGTAGGCAATGGTGGCTTCCCAGTTGGACGTGCTTCTGGGTATGTGCAGAGAAGGGGGAAACAAAACAAAAAGTTTTGAAGTGAGGTTACAACATTGACATATGGAAAGTTCCAGGTGGGGTCTGTGACAGATGGTGCCTTCCATGCCTTACAGAAGGTTTCCATGATAGGGCTAAGATAAAGCAAAGAGATGGACCAATTGTCTTTTAACCTCTGTGATGCTGCCCACAGGAACTGTTGCCCAGAGGCCTGGACATCAAGCAAGAAGAGCTTGGTGACCTGGTGGACAAGGAGATGGCTGCCACTTCAGCTGCCATTGAAGCTGCCACCACCCGGATAGAAGTAAGAAGATTCTGAAGGATTTCCCAGAGCAACAGTCCTGTGGCTTCCCTCTGGCAGTGCTGTGCCTTGGGAGTGACTTAGAGTCTTCTGTCAAAAAGGAAGGAAGGAAGGAAGGAAGGAAGGAAGGAAGGAAGGAAGGAAGGAAGGAAGGAAGGAAGGAAGGAAGGAAG